AATTTTAAAAATCATGAATAAAAACTTTAGTAATATTTAAACACGTGATTTTAATAGTGCGTCGGTTTACAACTGACATGTCTCAGATTACAACTCACGCACGTCAGATGACCAATTGGCAGGTGACATGCATCACCTGGAAATCGGCATCTGACATGCGTCAGATTAGATCCGACGCAAGAATCAATCTGAGGCACAACATACACACCTATATAAAAAGAAATTGATAGTAATTTTTTCTCTTGATAATCGATTATTCATCTTAACGTCTATTGGCCGGCTCAAAATAATACCTGCAGCTGCAGCAGTAGCATTTTATCACGCGACCAGAAAAATCAGTAGCTGCCCTGGTCGTATCATTGTCTTGCTAAATAGTATATAGCAATAGAACTAGACAGGTATATAGCGATAGAACTAGACAGTATCTGTTATGTCTGGTATGTACATACATGCATCCATATGTAAATAAGCAAACAATACTAGATATGTCAAATTATATGACTCAATAGGATTTAGACTCTTGGGTTTTGGGTGAGACTCTTGGGTTTAATGCATTATCTTGCATAATCTATTATATCCTTGAATTATTTAGGGTTTTAGTTGAATTATTTAGAGTATTTACTCAAATTTATTGAACAATTGTTCTATATAGCAGGCCAATTAAAGCCAATTCAATACAGGTTCAAAATAAATCTAGTGCCTTTGTCTAGGGCCCAATGTCTCCGATTGGCTCATATGGCTGTTTTCAAAATGGTTGAGAATAGCAAGATTTTTAAAAAATATTTTTTTATGTGAAAACCTGAAAACCCGATTAGTTTAGAACAATGATCGATTCCCAATTTATGTAAAACTCAGGTAATTGTAATCAATAAACAATTATACGACCAACTTCTGTTCAGTACAATCGTTCGATAGTCATGCAAGTATATCGTAATGCACTTCATTTGAACAGGAGTTGATCGTATAATTGTTTATTGATAACAATTACCTGAGTTTTACGTATATCAGGAATCGATCATTGTTCTAAACTAATCGGGTTTTCAGGTTTTCGGGTTTTCGTATAAAAAAAAATATTTTTTGAAAATCTTGCTATTCTCAACCATTTTGAAAACAGCTATAATATAACAATTAGAATGTCCGAATTTCATTGGTATTTTCTGACAAACAATTGCTCAAACAGAAGCTACGCCTCGGACAATTAAATCAGCAGTTAATATAAAAACTTAAAATTGTCACTACCCTTCAAATTTTATATCTAAAGTTTCTTACAACCTGCAATCAAAACAATAATGTTTCACAAATACCAAAGTTTATTAGAAGCTTATCAACATCAAGTATCAACTAGGCCAAGAAACAAAGTTATTTTGGTCCCCAACGGTACAAAATATGAAGAAATTAGTCTTCAAGATTTGGATATTATTATCAATAAATACGTAAATTATTGGAATAAACATTTGATGAATGAAAATCTGGATAAAAATATCGTGATTGGCTATTTGGCACAAAGTAGTCCTGAATATTTTTTTACCATTATGGCCTTATGGAAACTAGGTTTTCAAATCTTATTCCTTAGTCCTCGAAATTCCGAATCTGCTTTGATTAATTTACTTCAAGAAACTAAATCGCGTATTCTTATTTATGATCCTCAACTTTCAAAAATTTTGGTGAATGTTCAAAATGAAATCAATTCTCAACGTCCACAATCACTTAACATTTTTCAACTTCCTAATAATTTAAAAGATGAAAAAAT